TCATGGACCAAGAAACACTATACATTTCATGTATTCTATATGAACATGAAATCCAACTTACCATTTATTGTACATATCCTCCGGCCAAGGGGATTACAACTGTTTGTTTGTTCTAATGACTACAATCTAATAACTATAAGAAAATTAAGATAAAACTTAATTTACCCTATTAGAGTAAAATATTACAAAAACTTTCTCACATATAATTAATTGTAAAAAAAAATTCTTTTCCACGAAAAAAATTTAATATTTCCCCCCTTTAACATATAGTTCTACAATTCAAAGGAGAAAGAGGCGATGGGAGTAAGGGAACTTCCCTATTACGGATTTCAATCCCAATTTGCAGACAGGCATCAGGCTTGAGGCGATTGGATCTTTTTCTTCCAACATTTTAGTTTACGAGCGAAACATGTGCAGAGATTAAATATTGAAGTTCATATCAAGCGTAGTATATCAGAAAAAAGGAAAGCTTATCTCTTACTCTCGTCGTAGTATACACACATATATACATGATGCGTTCCTATATGTTTCGAGAAAAAAGGGTCCTGAGAACTTTTCGCTGTGCTTTATCGCGATCTTCATTTCGCAAAATCAGCATCGTACGTGTAAATTCAGTCTTGAGAGAGAAAAATGCCTCTATCGCGTATATGTTTACTTATCGTCAAATATTGATTGGATTTATAACTGACTACAATGGTAGGAGGCTGGGTTATTAACTTCAGATAAGATAATTTATATTACATACTGTAGAATCAAAGAAAATTGAATGATCAAAAACGATTAATTTATTTAAATATTACTAAATATTAATAGAGAAAGAATTCAATTTACGAATGGAGATAGCAATTATAGAATCAATTAAATAACGTTTCAAAATAGATGAATTGATTATCATTTTTTAGAAAAATTTTTGTTAAATAAAAAAAATTATATGTAGCAGTTTTGAAAATTTTCTGCAATTGGTTTCGGACTTAAGTGAATAAAAATAAATTTTTTTTTATTATGTGTGGCAGGTTTGCAAAGTTTCTGCAATTGGTTTCGGACTTAAGTGAATAAAAATAAATTTTTTTAAATATGTGTAGCAGTTTTGCAAATTTTCTGCAATTGGTACGTATTTTTAGTTCTGTCCTATTGTATTATTAATATTAAAGGAGAAAAAAGTTGCTTTTGGCGACAGCGGTGTGATTTATCATTTTTTACCTTTCTTTTATAATATTATTAGCATCAACGGAGAAAAAATTTGCTTTTGGTGGCAGCGGTGGGATTGCTCTTTTTTTTTACTTTTCTTCTATTATATTATTAGTATTAAAGGAATAAAAATTGTTTTTGGTGACAGCGGTGGGATTGTCCTGTCCTTACTTTTGTTTTATTATATTATTAATATTAACGAAGTTAAAAATTGTTTTTAGTGACAGCGTTTTTTTTTTTTTTTTTTGAAAATGTAGTATTGATCAAGTAAAATATAATAAATCGTTACGGTGACGTGACAATACGAAGATACATCTAAAGAATTATTGTGATACCAATCCTTATTGGTAGTCGGAAAACGAATATACACGAACACAAGGAGTCAAGTTGTGCTCTACGTGCCGGTTAGCTACCGTAAGTTCAGAGAGTTCCTTCTCGTCGCGCGACAAGCTCCCGCGTATTGTGTACGTGCACCAATGGACTTTACACCCATTGACTATATACAGTAGGATAGTTCAGCGGCACGCGTATCTATTTTACTTCCATTTGAGGTCGACTTCGTTAAAATCTGATTATCAGTCATCAAGATAGCGACCAAACTCGTGTTCTCTCTTTCTCTTGTACGGTCCAATGCCCTTGAATAATCAAAAATAATAGACGGCTTCAATCTGCATTCAACGTGACTTTGCATTATAAACAGAATAAGATTATTTACACAAGATAAACAAATGGAATTTATTATTTTTTTTATCGTTCGAATATGTTATCACGTCTTTTTTTTGCAGCTTTTACTACTTTTAATCTAGAACACTTTTTTTAATAACTCCAGCGTCTTTTCATTTTTGTATACTTCTCATTAATTCATTCTAGGAAAAATTAACTTTTTTGTTTGGTATCATAATATTTTCTTTTGTTGAAAGAAATTTTCTTCTTAGCAGAAAAAAGAGGAGTCTAAAAATTTAAAACAACTATTTTCTAATGTAAAGAAATGTTAATCTTTGGTTTCCCTTTGAAATTTGTCGTTTAATTGATGGCAAAGAGGTTTTAACGGAGATTTTCTTCGTTCAAGTTAAGACACAAGATGAGGTGATGAGTAAGTAAAGGATTTGTGAGACTAACCGAAGGAAGGGTTGTTTGTGAAGCTTCAAGGTAGTCCTTGGGGCAATTGGAAGGCCGATTACCCCAAGGGATTACTACTATTCCTAGAGAGAGAGAGAGAGAGAGAACTACTCTCCTACACTTCCGGGAGCATTGATATTCAACTAGAAGCACGCCACGGTAATTTCCCGTTCCCGGGCATAAGTATCCGACATCACCTCATCCCTTGCACGCATCCTTATTCATCTCCCACTCTAGACAAGGAAAATTCTATTCTCCTTCTACATTTTAACCCATCTAGATTCGCAAACCTATTCCAATCTCTATTTTCATCCTGGAATTTAGAACGTGAAAATAAAATACGCATCAAAAGACAAAAAGCAATTTTCTCTTTTGATAAAAATTATAGAATTTTTAAAGGAAAAAGAAATCATAGCTGCTGCTTTTTTCAAAAAAACGTTAAGGGTTAATTTAATGACAATAAGTGCAGTAATAAAAAAAAATAGAAATTTGTTTCTTTTCTCAAGTGTTTAAGTGAGGGGAAAGTGTAGAAAAAAAGAAGAGGTAAAAGTAAACTGCAATAGCAATGATAGAGGGTCACTCGTAAAATATCGTGAGAAAACACCTAAAGCTACAGCTATATTCTTATACACAAAGTGTCTTTGAATCCAGTCTAAATCCTTATAGCTAAACATCTTAACATCCTTTTTAAGGATATTTTATTTATCGTTCTTCTTTTTTAATTTGCAATTAGTAATCAATTGATCTTTAATCAAATTATATAATTTGAATATTTAAATAAATTTTGACAAAAACATAAATGCAAACAATTTCAACGATTCTAATTAGTATTAAAAGATAATTGCAATAGTGAAATTATTTTTTTTCATCTTCGATGGAATTGAACGATTGCGGATTTTCGAGCTGTACTGAATGGCTTCTTTAGCCGTGTGTCCGATGACTGGAAACAGTCGAATGGAAGTTCAATCGTGTTCCCGCTCGGTTGCACATTAAGCCGTTAACATTAATGGCAAAAGATCAAATAGAAGAGGTGAAGGATAAAATAGCACCCCGTGTGAAGAATAGTATTTTTTTTTTTATTCCATTCGATATTCCCATAGGACCTTTAAAATCATTTGACGATAGTGCGATAAGAAAGGGAATAGAGATAGAGAGATCCCAATGCTACAGTTCATACGGATCATTATGCATTCATGAAGATTATATGCAGTTCAAGCACGTTTCTCCTCGGGAAATTGGACTGCGACTCTTCTCTTATCATCACTGTAAATTATACTATCGATATGTCCTATCAAATTAACATCGACATGTTGACATTTCACATTACAAAATTCCATTTATTTTTTTCTTTAAAAAATTATATATGAATTTTCTTTTAGTTTTCTTATTTATCACTCCTAAAATTGAATATATAAAATATTCAGCTTTGTTAAAGTTGTATCAATGTTAATGTCAATTGATATTAATATTCTACAAGTTGCTCATTTACATACAAATACTTTCATCATTTCAGTACAAATGTAATATTTAAATAAGAAATGTCTCGAACCATTTAATTTACATTTTTATCATTATTCATTTAAAAAAACTGTCAAATTCTTTATACAATTAAATGTGGTTTCTAAAATAACGTACAAAAAAAATTACAGCCAATTAATAAAGATGAATTTTTAATTTAAAATAAAAATTACATTTTATTTCTTAATAATTAATCTATTCTAATCAGTGCATATACGCAAATACTGGACAATAAGTAATCATTTTTATCATAATTTTTTTAACTACTTTGGATTTTATTATCCGTAACAAACTGATTCTAGTTTCTTTATCACAGAATGAATTACAAGTAAAATTACAAAAAATTCATTAAACTACAGAATTTGATTTGTAACCATTTTTTAAACTCTTGGTTTTGTCAAACGTGAGCTCAATTTCCAAAAGTGTTTTTCCTCTAGTCTCAGGCAAATAAAAAAACAACATTGACGTTCCAATAGCTGCAATACAACCGTAAATAAAGAAAGTTCCATATGACAACAAATACTCAAACATGTATGGCGCTAACAATACAACAATAAATAAACACAAAAATCCAAATCCAGTAGTTAAACCCGAAGCCAAACCTCTATAGGCCATGGGAAATAATTCTCCACACAACATCCATGACAATGGTATCAAACCAATAAATGATGTAATATTATAAAAAATCAATAAAATCACTGATGTCCATGGATTACCATAATCATAATATTGTACAATAACAAGTAAAAAAAGTACAAATGCCGTTCCTGAACCTGAAACTAATGCTAATCCTCTATTAGAAACTCTTTTAATTAGCCAACATGTTAAACATGATATTAAAATTTTCACAACATCTATCAACAATGTCCACATAAAAGCACCCTTTGGATCAGCCACTTGTTTAAATATATCAACACTATAAAATGTAATTGCATTAACACCACTGCACTGTGCTGTAAAAAATACCAAACAAACAATAATAAATGGTTTTAAAAATGATTTTGAAATTATAATTTCCCGCCAATTAAATTTATTTCTCATTATTTTTGGTTTATGAGCAATTTTTAATGATTCAAATTCTTTAAAACAATTTAATCCACGTAAATATTTCCAAGCAATTAATCCATTTTCAATTTGTCCTCTCTTTAAAAACCATGTGGGACTTTCAGGCGATAGAAAACAAATGATAAAACAAATTATATTAAGTGAACCACACAATAAACTTGCAATCCTCCAATGTAACCATGTTCCTGTAGCGTGTGCCAATAAATTACCAATTGATGCTGCAACACTAATACATCCTAAAAGAATTCCTCTTAATCGTGGATTTGTTGTCTCGGCAATATAAACTGGACATGCAGGCGCTAAAAATCCCATAAATAAACCACTGCATAAACGACCAATTATTAAAATTTCAAAACTCGAACTCACAGTTATTGTTAGCCAGGAGAGAAAATAAAATGGTGTTATCACCAAATGGGTCATTCTACGACCTAATTTCTCCAACATTAATCCTGATAACCAACAACCAGGTGCCAATAGAAGTGCACCTGAGAAACCTAGCCATGATTTTTGACTTATTGTTTCAATTTTAATATCATTAAAATTTTCTCTAAAAAAATTTGTATCTGTAAAACTTGAATTAAATTCAAGTTGTGGTATTAAAATTGCACTAAATCCTCCTGTTACACCTGCTAAAATTGCTCCAACAATTGCACCAAATGCCGTAATCCATTGTCTCAATTCATATTTAAATTCCTCCTTCGATGTAATTAAATTCACTTCACCTCCCATAAGCTGATCAATTTCCTGCATTGCAGAAACATTTTCAACTATTTCTTTTTCACTACTATTCCTCATTATTTCGTTTATTGGATATTTTCTATTTTTCTCAAATATTTTATTGAAAAGTTTTTCATTATCACTTTTTGAAAAAAATTTGACATTTATTTGATTTGTAAAACAATTGATTCATAATTTAATTAATAAACACTTTTTGTGGAGTAAAAAATAAAAAAAAAAAAAAAAATGATGGTCAATGATTCACAATCGACAGACAACTGAAGTTCAACTGAGCAAACGAAGGCTTATGCGATAACTTAAGTATTATTATCATCATCATGAGGAAACAAAAAGCTCACGCTCTGCCAGATCGTTAAACAATATTTCAATCTAAATACTCCCAAAGCTTCTGTTGATGCTTCATCAGTATCTCTCGAGACATTTATTATCATTGACGTAATTCCACCAGTAACGTGTTAGTCATATTGAAAAAACAGGTTCTCGTACTATTTCACAGTGCAAATAACATTGAACTTTAATTTATTTATAAATACATTTTCTAAATATGTAACTTTTTTTGTAGACAAAAATTATTTTACACTTTATTTTGAAATTTTATTTAAAAAAAAAAATATTTAAAATATTTTTCCCGAAAAATACTATTTTTAAATTATTAATGGAAAATAAATTAGAAATGAAAAAATTTCGAAAATCAGCTATTTTCTTTAAAGAGTTTTTTTTTTATGCAGATGTAATTGCCGGTAGAAGTTTACTACTACTGCTTTGCATATCTATAAAAAAATATATGGTCAGGAAAAAGACCGACAATTAGTTAATGTTCCATTGCATAATAATATATATGTATTCAGTTGTATGTAAATGGGATAAAAAAAAATTTTTACGTTAAAAATGAGAAAAAATACACTGTGCACGATAATTTAGAATACAATTTTTTTTTTTTATTTAAAAAATGAAAAGGTGCATCATTCAATATAATTGAAAATAAAAATGCTTCAACAATTTTTTTTAATAGAAAACTAATCTACTGAATTATTTACACATAAAAGAGAAAAAAAAACTTGTCCATAAAATAATAATTTAAAAATGAATATATATATAGACATTGAAAATAATTTTAGTAAATAGTAAACTTTTCCACTTTTATTCTTTTTTATTTTATTTTTTTTAAATGTTTATAAAGTAAATTGTTTACTTTCTGGGAAATTGTAAACAGTTTCTTGGAAAAGTTTCGATTGTGTGTATAAATAAATCTTTTTATTTAATTTACTCAATTAATTTGATGTTACGTAAACAGTTAATAAAAATTATACAACTACGAAGAGACAAAAAATTTATAATATTAGAAAAAAAAATAAAACAGTTACAAATTATTATATTACATTGGTGAATAATTAGTTTAATTAAAAAGTTAATTTGCATTTTTAATTTTACTTTGTAATTTATCAAGTTACTTAACGTTATAAATTTCGTTTGAATAACGTTCAACAATGTCTCGAGTGATTGATTTTGTCAACTTGGCAATGTTTGCAATGATAAAGTTTTAAAAATACTTAATCAAAAAACCTTGTTTACCTACCTATCTATGCATAATAAAACAAAAATAAACACAATTATACTAGACTAAACAGAAGGAAAAAAAAAATACAAAAATAATTTCGAAATAAAGAATTTTTTGAATTTCAGCAAAAAAAAAAAATCTGAATTCTCTAAGAGAGCAAGATAAAAATAAATTTCTTTTTTTAAATTGTAAGAGAAAAAAAAAGTGTATAGAAAAAATTAACCCGATAATAAAATAATTGTTTACAAATGATAAAACAAAAATACTGAAACAGAAACTCCAAACTTTTTAGAATTAACTTAAGCGCTGATCTACAGGGTTTTTTTTTATGAACGAGGTGTAATTAAAGAAGCGATAATTACTTGAAAACTACCTTTCGATAATTACGCAATTACTAACTTGCTCAACCTGCTTTCAAAAAAAAAAAAAAAAAAAACAAAAAAAAATATTTATATTTCAAAGAAACAATACTGAATGCATTCAAGAATTATTCTTCTCAATAATAAATTAAGAAAAAAAAAGTACTAACTTCAAAAAGAGAGAGAAAAATATTCACCATATATATTGAAAATGAAGATATAGATTTCAATACATAAAAAAGGTTTTATCAATTTTCAACAATATTCTGATATATAGACAAGAAAAATGGTTAAAAGAAAATTCATGAAATTCTTATTTCTGCAATTGACAAGTCAATAAAAATCAGGGAATCAACTGAGTAAACAGGTTCTCCGGTAAACTTCCTAATCCCATTACTACATTCACTTTGATGTACAGCAAACATACCAAACCGGAAGGTCTTTTAACTTTTTTCTCTTATACCTCTTATTTTTGAACGTAGTTTCATATACAAGTGCGATTTTTTTTTTTTTATTAAACTAAATTGCACATTTTTTAAAATAATGTTTCTTCGGTTTAAAAATGAAACACTTTTTTGGTAAAAAAAAAAAAAACTAAGATATGGTAAACTTTTCGCAGTTTCGAATTTCAAATTTTCGCGCGCCGTTCCGCTGTTCGGAATACGAACTGTATGAAACCATGAAATAAAATGGCTGACACCGGGGTATTAGTTTCATTCTTAAAATACTGTATTCTAGACTTCAAAATTAATTATTAATTAAAATATAAATTATTTTTAATTAAATTCAATTGCCATTTACAATATAAAATGAAAAATTTTACCTTTCTTCACCATGGAGATTTGTATAGAACATTTGAAAATTCCATCTGAGGACAACTTACCTGAAAACAAAAAAAAAGTAGTAGTTTTAATTTTTTTTTTTTTTTTGGTAAATATAAATGTAAATAAAAATAAAACTAGAAAAATCATCAGTATAAAATAACTAATTTTTACAAAAATTGGGAAAAAAAAAATTTGATAAAGTTTATATCTGTATAATTAAAAAGAAATCATGTCCTTCTCAGTTTGTAGTAATTTGCTGTGTGTCTTGCATCGCGGACAGTTTAAGAAGTAGTTGTTTATAAAAGGGGGTTGAGTCTCTTGATATTTGAGCAAGGAGGGCTAAAAGAAACAATCTGTGAAGAATTCTGCAACTTGGGTGGCAACTGCCTTCCTTCATTCCACTATTTCAAGAGAGGAATACATTCTCAGAACCAGTCATTCAAGATAACCCTTTCAACTAACCAACTTATTAAGGAAAAAATATCACTCCAAATGATTGATTACAATAACCTTATACTAAACTTCTCTCATTACATTTTCAAATTTTTCTACAAGAAAAGAACTTTACATTTCAAAAAAAAAATAAAAAAAAAAATTTCCCATAATTAACACAAGAATCTATAATTTACAAAAAAAAAAAAAAAAAGGAGAATACAGTAAAAATATTCTAGATTTGATATGATGATAAAATAAATTGTTTGCTATTGAAAAAGATGATGAAATGTTATTTCCAAAATAATATACGAGTGTATCAATTTTCCCCCGGTGCAATATGTGTATTTGTAATGTACAATTGAAATGTATACACACATATAGTGAAATAAACGATTTATATTCCAAAAGCATTAAATGATTCACGTACACACGATACCCTTCGTCTCGCGTGTGCTCAGTTAGTTAATTATTCGAAATTTATCGACGATCCCATACAAATTTGCCTATTTGATATGCTACGACATTCAAAACTCGTACATCACACTTAATCGTTGAATATGAAACAGAGTCCGTAATACATTCAACATATTATATATATATATATATTTAGTCTGCAATTACCAGTCTTAACTGGTAGAAATTCAACAGAAATTTATCCAATAAAATATTTTTTTACAAAAATTCCACAAGACAGAAGTATTTGATAGACTGCTAATTTTGTCCGAATTCGGACAAAATTCCAATTGAAAGAAAAACATAATCGTAAAATATTTTCAATTTTTAATATAGAAATAAAATTTTATTTTCAATTCTTCGATATTAAACGAAATATAAAAGAAATAGAAGAATATTGAGAAAAGTAGAAGGACATATCTATATATATATATAATATGAACAATCTGCGTGTCACTGCACCCAATAACGGAGCGGGTAATCACAATTTAATGGCTCAATAACGTCTGCCACTGCACCCTGCCATCGACCATGAAACAATTTATCGGTCTCACCAGTCAATAAATTTAGCTTTTCAGTTTGTATGTATATATAATAAAGGTCTAAACTTTGGACTCAGTGATGGTTTCCTGCTTAAATCTCGCGGTAAACCAACATTCGCATCAGCTTACAACCACAACAATCGTATATAAAACTAAATAAATGATTGTAAATTTTTATGTTGCAATTTTTTTTTTTTTAAGAGCATTTGAACCTTCGTGACGTCACAAATCATGGCGCATGACATGCAAACTTCTCAGGTATGTGAAAAGCACAATTTTGAATATTTTTTAAAAAAACCTTTTGGAAAATGTTCAGAATAACATAGACTCTGTCTGTTATGTGCGGAAAATTCAAAATTTTGCGTTTAAAACGTTTTTTAAACAATGTTAAGGTCACAAATCATGGCGCATGACACGCAAACTTCTCAGGTATGTGAAAAACACAATTTTGAATATTTTTTAAAAAAACCTTTTGGAAAATGTTTAGAGAAACATAGACTATGTCTGTTATGTGCGAAAAATTCAAAATTTTGCGTTTAAAACGTTTTTTAAACAATGCCTACATATAAGCAGTTCGTGTATTTTTCCTTACTTGTGACAACCAACTTAAACATTGTTTAAAAAACGTTTTATACGCAAAATTTTGAATTTTTCGCACATAACAGACATAGTCTATGTTTCTCTAAACATTTTCCAAAAGGTTTTTTTAAAAAATATTCAAAATTGTGTTTTTCACATACCTGAGAAGTTTGCGTGTCATGCGCCATGATTTGTGACCTTAACATTGTTTAAAAAACGTTTTAAACGCAAAATTTTGAATTTTCCGCACATAACAGACAGAGTCTATGTTATTCTGAACATTTTCCAAAAGGTTTTTTTAAAAAATATTCAAAATTGTGCTTTTCACATACCTGAGAAGTTTGCATGTCATGCGCCATGATTTGTGACGTCACGAAGGTTCAAATGCTCTTAATAATTTCAAAAGAATTCAAAAAAAAAAATACGATTTTTCGATTGTATTTTTTTGTAGTTTTGTTATTATGTAATTTTTGACCTTTAGAAAAAAAATATAAATGGTAAAAGTAAAAAATATGAGAGAAGCAGGCGCATGGCGCCTCCATCGCAGGGTTTCGTGACAAATATTAATATTACCGTTGCTAAGGAAAAAACGATTATAGTAACGGTTGCTATGGTAACTGTTGTTATGAAAACGGTAGTCATGGAAACGGTTACTATGAAAACTGTTCTCAAGGAAACGGTTGATTTAGTAACGGTTGCTATGGAAACGGTTACTATGAAAACTGTTGTAATGGAAACGGTTGCTAAGGTAACTGTTGTCATGGAAACGGTTTCTATGGTACCTGTTGTCATGGAAACGGTTTCTATGGTAACTGTTGTCATGGAAACGGTTGCTAAGATAACTGTTGTCATGGAAACTGTTGTCATGGAAACGGTTGCTATGGAAACTGTTGTCAAGGAAACGGTTACTATGAAAAATGTTGTCAAGGAAACGGTTGCTATGGAAACTGTTGTGATGGAAACTGTTGTCATGGAAACGGTTGCTAAGGTAAGGGTTGTCATGGAAACGGTTGCTAAGGTAACTGTTGTCATGGAAACGGTTTCTATGATAACTGTTGTCATGGAAACGGTTGCTACGATAACTGTTGTCATGGAAACAGTTGCTAAGGTAACTGTTGTCATGGAAACGGTTTCTATGGTACCTGTTGTCATGGAAACGGTTTCTATGGTAACTGTTGTCATGGAAACGGTTGCTAAGATAACTGTTGTCATGGAAACTGTTGTCATGGAAACGGTTGATATGGAAACTGTTGTCAAGGAAACGGTTACTATGAAAAATGTTGTCAAGGAAACGGTTGCTATGGAAACTGTTGTGATGGAAACTGTTGTCATGGAAACGGTTGCTAAGGTAAGGGTTGTCATGGAAACGGTTGCTAAGGTAACTGTTGTCATGGAAACGGTTTCTATGATAACTGTTGTCATGGAAACGGTTGCTACGATAACTGTTGTCATGGAAACAGTTGCTAAGGTAACTGTTGTCATGGAAACGGTTTCTATGGTACCTGTTGTCATGGAACCTGTTGCTATGGTAACGTTGTTTAAATTTAAAAAAAAATTTTTAATTATTATTAAAAATTTTTTTTTTTGGTCGAAAATACTAATTTTCACATGAAGAGGCAAAATGTTAATACATATGTATAAAAAATAAAAAAATACAAATCATGGTTACAAGGCAATTTTTAAAAAATTTTAATTACACGTTGGTTCATCAGTAGTCTGAATGATTGGATTCGAAATATTTCACAAGGAAACCAACATGTATTATAACTTCACTAACAATCAGATCGATTTGTTTTATAATATATATATGTATATATATTATTTGGTCAGTCCTTTGTTGCTTGATTTTGTTGTCTATGCGGTTAATAGTCATATAGTACTAGGAAAATTAATTAATTTATCGATATAGTAAACGTGGAGAATTTAAATAATTTTGACTTTTTTAAATTAATTAACTATATGTTATTTTTTATATTATTTTATTATTATAAAAAATATTTTTTAAGCAAAATAAGTTTTTCCTTTTTTTTTATCATGTTATATGGTTTTTCAATTTTATAGCCTTCTAGAAAATTAACGTTCATTTTATTGGCTTTTAATTTTAAGTCATAAATATTTTCTTTTGTTTAGTTGAAGAATTTTATTTTTTGTTCTTTATCATCTCTCATATATATATATATATATATATATATATGAAACTTATTACGTCGTAGGAAAAATCAATATTAAAAGAAGGGGAATGATAAAAATATTCTGAGTTGGGACATTTTCTAATCGTATACAATAATTTTCTGGTAAAATAGCGCAACGACCAATCAACAAATTGTACGTGTTTTTTCAAATAAAATAAAATAAATATCTAAATCGTTGTATTTTTTTCAAGTCAGTTGAAAAAAAATCATCGTCATTTAAAGTTCAACATAATGAAGATATTTTTGGTGTATTTTTTATTTACTTTTCTTGTGATTAGTGTTTACGCTAATGGTAATTAAAACTAATAAATTTCACAAATTTTCTGTTTCAAATGAAAAATTTAATAAAACTTTTTTTTTCCAATTTTTATTAAATTCCGTTTTTTTTTATTGATTTAAAAAATTTACTGTCTGAATATTTAAAAGTTTTTTTTGACAAAATTATGATAATAATAATAATATATGTTATTTTCAGTAGGGGGTGGCATTCAGGGTGGACTACATGTTGATGGTAATGGTTTACCTAAACTTCTCTCCAAAATAATACCTACAGTTAATTTACAGGGGGGAGCAAACGTCGGCCTTGGTAAAAAATAATTAATACTAAAAATGTAAAAGTAATTAATTAACAAATGGAAACTGAAATAAATATCATTTAAATCTCATTTTACACAAGTTTTATTACATTGTCTATCGTTTTCGTTATAAATTTTCAAATTCGTTAAAAAATATTATTAAATTATTTTTTGAATGAAAATAAAATTCGTTTATAAATAAAATTGGAAATATTAAAAAAAATATATATATATATTTTTCAAAGAGAAACGATTTACTCATTAATTTAATAACTGAGCAAATATTATTTAAAAATTTTTTTTTCATTAATTTAAATATAAAAAATTGTATCATTTTTTTTTTTGGAGCACGTAAGAGGTATCACATTTTTCAGAATAGTTTGTAGATACCAACTACAAATGAAGGAAATAATTAATGCGACATTCTGAGAGTCGAGCGTGATCGCACAGAGACGATAATATTAAGTGCAGGATCGCGATATTCAAAGGCATACGATATTACATATTTCATATATTATATATATACATATATATGCTCGCGCGCATTTCCCAATGGTCATAAATAATAATGAAGGTTTTTATTGGTAATAATATTTTACGCGTCGATTTGGGACCTATAGTGAATCTCATATAGCCGCACTGTGGGCCAAAAAAGCAGGACCAAAACTTGTGTGTCAACACGACGGGGTGCTGTACGAAAAAAAAAATTTTAAAACAAGAAAAAAAATCTTACAAAAAATTTTTTATTTACAAAACTCGAAATTAAAAGACAGTTTAAGAAATTATATTTTTGAATTAAATATAAATTTACCAATTCCAACCAACATATGTTGATAATTTTTTTTTCTGATTTATTTCTAACAGATATATGTATATATATATATCTAAATATTATTTTGATATGAAATTTTTGTCGATTTGCGGTAGACGAAAGATAACGAATATCGTGGAAAAAAAAATATATGGAATGCTTTGATTGAACATTGTTTCATCGTATACGGATATTGCACGTGACAACTGGAAATAGAACATTTAAAAAAAAAAAATGTAAAAAATTCATAACCAATATTTTCCTTCTCATATTTATATATATATATATATATATATATATATATATATATATATATATATATATATACGTGACACGTGTGTTGTAAACGTCAGAGGCACGAGGAAAAAGAAAAAAAATTTATAAAAGAAGAAAGACATAAGTTACTGTGCGCGCATCCAAGTCATAAAAAAATATTTTTTGACGACTTTCTGTACAAAGTTACATTTTTGAATTTTATTTCTCAACATTCACATGATATGAAAGCTAATTTTTTGAAGAATCATTTTTTTTTTGTTATAAAATTATTTCTATAAAAAAAAGAAATATTGATTGTTTACTTTAAAAATAATGAAAAAAAGATACATTTTTTTTTATTTACTTTTTTTATCGCCTATACTGATTGCAATTCGCTTTTACGAGCGATTCTCCAATATCCAAGAACGTCATTGGCTATATAGGTATATAGTAAGCTAAGATTTATGTCTACAGACGTTCTTGACTTTTGCGTTTTTTTTTTTTTTTCGTTTCTCCTATATGAAAATTGAATTTTATTTCTATACACTGTATTTTTGAGTAAAAAAATAGTTTTGAAAAATAAAAATTTTTAATTGTTAACTTCCGTTTTTAAATTATTTACACAGAAAAAAAAATCTGAGATCAAAATAAGTAACGCTATTTTTTTTGAAGTGAAAGAAAAATGTGCCTCGTAGATGGCGCCACATTCTATGTCGTTTGGTTCATTTTGAACTACAAGAATAAGTCTAGATTTTTTTCTAGGAGAAATAAGATATAATTAATTTTATGACTAATTTTATAATTAATTTAATAGAAATTACTTTAAAAAGAATATATAATAATATAAATTAATTACAGAAGAATTTTAATGAATATTAATTAAATAATAAAATATTAGATCTCTTATTAAATTTGTCATTTTATAGTTGAATATTAATTTGAATAAAAATACAGCTTTCAATGATAAGGAAGAACTTTTATTATAATAAAAGAGAGAGAGAGAGAGAGAGAGAGAGAGAGAGAGAGAGAGAGAGAGAGAGAAATAGGTTGAAGGAAAAGGTTATAAAGATAAAAGCAAGGAAAGTGTGCCGCGAATTCATTCATTCGGTTCATCGTATCCGAAAGCTTTTATAAAAGTAATATTTCCAAAGTCGCCGAGGCTGACAAATGGGATGGCTTTATAAATACTCAATTACCCTTTTTCACCGGAAACTATTTCTGCTAACTAGGCAGACTTTCAGTCTGATGACTTCTAATTTCTTTTCAAATTGTCGTCAATTTCAAAAGCTCTATATAAAAGACTCTAAAAATATAGTATATATATAAAGGTAATACCAAAAATCTCTTCTAATGATTTTATCAAAAATTTGCTTAATTAACCAAAAATTTTTTTTTTTACAATAATATTAAATCTGATTAATTAAGATTTATTTTATTTTAAATTATATAAAAAATATTTTTATTATTAATAAAAAATATTATTTTTCTTTTTCTTTAGAAAAAAAAAAAATTCCAAACTATAAAAAGTTAGACAATAAAATGAAGATTAAGAGTTTATAAAATATTTATTATAAAATCTAAACTTTGTTTCTTATTGCGAAACAAGTTATAGACCATAAAATCTTGTCTTTCAATTTTAACCCTCAAGAAATTCGCGTTCATTTTTATTGGCTTCTGAAAGTCAGTCATATATTTTCTTTTGTTTAGGTGAACAACTTTATTTTTTTTTTTTTTCCTACTTTTTTTTTATCATCTCCTTGAAACTTATTCTGTTGTATAAGAAAAATCAAAAGAAAGGAAATAGTTAAGTTATATAAATTGTGATTTAGACGTTCTATATTCATTTCTGTATATATATAATTTTCCTGTCAATTTAGTAACAATTGTAATTGAAAATAAAAATATAAATCGTTTTGTTTTTCATATTTTAAGTCAGTTGAAATAAGTTCTCAGTATGGAAAACAACATGAAAATTGTTTTGATATTTTTTGGATTTGTCATTTTTCTTTTCTTCAACGTTTACGCTGATGGTAATATATATATATATATAATTTAGAATTTTTTTTTATTTTTATATTTTTTTTTTTAAATTTTATAAAAATTGTATTTAATTAAAATTTTATGAAAATATATAACTGGCGTATATTGTAAACAATTTAGATAATTATTTTTTTCATAAAAATAATTATTCTATTTTTTAGTAAACTATGGAATACAAGGTGCATTGAAAGTGGATGAAAAAGGTTTTCCAAAAATTATTGCCAATATGATACCTAAAGTTGACTTATCTGGATCAGTAAATGTTAATTATGGTAAAAAGTAAATAGTACTGTAATTTTAAAAGTATTTACTTTTAACACAGTAAAATAATTATATTATTTTTTTTGAAATTATATATATATATATACGAAAAAATTTGATATAGTGTATAATTAATAGAGTGTGGAAAAAAAAATTTAATTTAATAATTAAAGTGCGACGTTTAAATAAAATATTTATGATAATAATTAATTGAAATAAAGTGTGTGTAAAAATTTAATTTTGTATTTCATGTGAAAAGAGAATATCAATAAATTTAAAAAACAGAAAATACTTGAAGTGCGAAAACGAAAAGTAATTTTGCATAAAGTAACAAATTTTTTGTTCTTTGTCTTTTATGTTTTTTTTTTTGTCATGGCCATTTGATTACACGTCGTGAAGAAAAATGAGATTCTAAGTAACGACAGAACACACACACACTTTGCAAAGAGGCGCGTTTGCCGAAAGGTCGCGAATCATTGCCAACGTTGGTTTCAATTTTATGGTCAATCTTTCTCATGAACTTGTGGGACATTTTTTGTATTTCTCTTTTTCTTTTTTTAATACTTTCTTTTTCGGCAAAAATATTTCCCTCTTCGTTCTCAGCGCACGCGAAAAACATACACGCACTGAATCTCCCTCCCTTTCCCACCCCATAAGAACCAACGCTGTAAATCTTCATTTTTATGTTACTATATAGTGAAAAATGCCACAATATCACGGCGGCAAGAGTTTTATAATGTTTCATGTCACAAGACACTTGCCAAGGTGTCAAAATCGCATAAAAAAAAAAACAAATTTTATAACGAAAATATGAAAAAAAAACCAAAAATTGAGAAACCAATTTGTACACAAATTTTAATTAAGAAATTATAAAATTAACTATACTGAAAATGATTTAAGAATTATATAAAATATTTATTATGAATAATAATTATTCATTAGTCATAGTGATGTGAGAGACAATATGTTAAAAATTGATTATTTTTTTCATTATCAAAACTTTTTAACGAGCACCTTAAAACTGATGACGTTTCAACAGATTTAACTTTGATAAAGAAGAGAATTTTATTTGAGAGTCTTCTTTATATTCCTTGTAACATCAATTCAAAAGGAGCCTGAAGCAATTGCAAAGGACTATACACACAATCAATATTGCAATTTTTTTCTAGACTCGTTGAGAAGGAGGAAAAGAAGAAGAAGAAGAAGAAAGAGGGAGGGGACGAATTCTGAGTAAAAGTGTCCATTTGGTTTTTCAACTGGCTAATGACGTCGTTAAATGGCAATAAATATAAACCTCTCCCTCTGGTTTTGCTCTTTAATATTGCTTCTGGTGGCCGCTTACTACACCAAAAGGCCTACCAAGACGCGAGTCAATATGTGACGAAGATGTGATAAAATGTTTTCATTTTCACATCACTTTCATCAAAGTTCATATTCGAAGAATTTGTACTTTTCTTCATACTTCGTAACTATTTATCTTCATAGTCTTTTTTCTTCATTTTCAATTTGAATTATTTTCCTTCACAATCACAATCACAAAATTATAACGATATTCTAATTTTAAGAATTTTCAACTTATTTTAAGAATATGCGAGACTTAAATAGGCGCCACGAATATATTCTTAAATTAAGAATAAAATCTTATATTAAGAATATTTTCTTAGAATCACTTTTTTAGAATATAATCTTAAAATAAGTATATTTTCTTCTTGTATCAAGAAAT